GCCAGTGTGGGTTTCCTCGAGGTGTGTGCGTTTCATTCATGATTCCTGGGTACAAGTGCTCGTGGCAAAAAACAGTAAAGCACTTTGAGATGTGAGAAAGAACCAGCAGAGCTCTGTATCTATCAAAATATTGCCATAAATATTTGAAAAGGTCTTTCTGCCCTGGTGTTCAGGTATTGTGCTCGGCTGCCCAGCGACCCATTCACACACCTAGCACCAAAATGTAAAACCGTGGAGACGGGGGACGGATGTTTCCAGTCTACTCTCTACTTGCCTATAAACTCCCCTCTGCGAGTTCCTGTCAAGGTAAGGAAGGCTGTTATAATTTTCAAAATTGCCAGTGTAAACATTTTGACGTGCTCCTTTTACTTATATTTCTAAAGGATGATTGATATTTTGACTTGCACCTATTTTACTGATGTGATTGAAATTTTACAGGGTCCAGTGATGAATTGTGCAAGAGTGGCAGAGAAGGCAGTTGCACTAGTATGCTGTGAGAAACTCCACAAAATAGGTAAAACCACAATAACAATCTTGCAGACTAATCTTGTTATTTTTGTCTTCATTGCTTCATCTTTTGCCTCTTCCTCCTAAGGTGAACTGGATGATCACCTGATGCCCGTGGGAAAGGAGACGGTAAAATACGAGGAGGAGCTTGATCTTCACGATGAGGAGGAGACCAGTGTCCCGGGCCGGCCTGGTTCTACAAAGAGAAGGCAGTGCTACCCCAAAGCTGTACGTCATGCTCATTACAACAAGAGTTCAGTGATAACCAAAAGTTAACATGCTGGAAAATAGAGGCAGTGAAAGCTGCAGTCTCACTTCAGTATAGCAGGCATTTGATGCAGGGAGGGCACGGCTGAACCAGTTTAGACTGTTTTTGAAGTAATTCAGCTGCAAAAATCTAGGGTGATATGGGGGGGGGTCAACTGGCTGTCTCCAAACTCATCCAGGGCTCTAGACTAACTTTTTGCCATGGGCGTGCCAGTAGGCCTAACTTTAAAAAGTTAGGCATGCCGGCACAAAAGTTAGGCGCACACAAATTTTATAATAATTTATATAATATAATGTGTTTTCCTGGATACACTGTGCTTTTTCAGCATTCAAAGATTGATGACACCGTGTCAGAGCTGGCTATGAATTTCAGAAGGATCAGGCCTTAACTTAACAGAAAAGTTAGCAATAGTTCTTTTCCTATTACAGCTGCATCCACTTCTGTCATGCCTAGGCTGCTCACTAGGGCTGGGCATCATCACTGATTTCTATAATCCATTCATTCCGGTTTTCAAAGTCCCGATTCGATTCAACTTAGCCTCAGACAGTCAGAAATATTATAATTCTGATCATTTATCAGTACTGACTTCATCAGAATTGTGAACATCACAGCAGA